TGCCTGCAAGGTAGGCTTAGATTATCTACGCCCTCTGGGTCCTGGGTGCACCCTGACTCCTGGCTATTTACCAAGGAGATTATGCATCCAGCAACTAGTGTGGTGTGGGCACTTCCCATTCAAGAAGGCTGTCTCTAACCAGTGGGGATGATCAGAGACCCACCCAGCAGACTCCGGACCTATGCAAGCACTCTGATGAAGAGCCTCCTGGAACCTCGGATTTCTTCTTTCTCTTCATGTCTAGGCCTGGCATAGCTGGCTCATGTTCAGGCCTGGCACAGAGCCTGTTTTAGAAGCGCCTCACCTGTAGGCCTACGGTTAGCCTCATTCCCATCACACCCAGCTTTCGTCAGAGGAAGTCAGGAATACTGGGGATGCATATGAAAGACATTATGACTGGGCAGGCCAAACAGAGGAGCAGAAATAGCAGTCAGCTGCAGCTTTGAAGAAGGCTGTGTTGAAACACAAGGCCAAAGGCAGGAATTCAACAGGGCTGGGAGGAAAGGTGCTATCCCAGCTCCACTGAAGAGCCAGTGCTCAACACAGCACCTTGCTTCACATGCCGGCAAAATACAGAATTACGTCAAAACGGCTTTTTTATGTACTGAAAATAAAAATGGCTTGTCGCTAAGCGCAATGGCATAGTAGTCTAAGCCTCTGCCTGTAGCATCAGCATCCCATAAGGGTGCTGCTTCAAGCCCTGGTTGTTTCACTTCTAATCCAGCTCCCTGTTTATGGCATGGGAAAGCAATGGAGAATGACTCAAGTCCTTGGGTCCATGTGGGAGATACAGAAGAAGCTCCCAGCTCTTGATCAGCCCAGCTCTGGCCGTTATGGCCATCTAAGAAGTAAACCAGCAGACAGACAATCTATCTCTGTCTCTCTGTAACTCTGCCTTTCCAATAAAAATAAAATAGATATATTTTTAGAAATGACCCATCATATAGAAGTACTAGGCAGCAGAGTTTATAGGGAGAAATACGGCAAATTAAGATCAGATGGAAAATCAAGATCAAACAAATAGATTGTGGTCCAACAGTTATCCACTAAAACCTGAACCCAAATTTGCAACCAATCTGTAGGTAATGGAAGCCTAAGTGACAGATACGTACACCTTCACCTACTATCCTTCCGTGCCTTAAAAACAGTGTTCCCCGCACTCATCCCATGCATTTTAATGGCACACAGTTTGGGAAACATTTCACATTTCACACTATGCCTAGAGTCACTCCCACCCCAGCTCAACTATGCAAAGTGATTATCACCCCTAAAAGGCTCTTTGCTTCTTTGTTTCCCAAATCTGACAGGTCCTTTCTTTTTCTGTAATGTGTGTGTGTGTATTTACACATATATAATTTCTGTCTTCTGGGAAATAGCCATGGAGGGATTCAAATACACACACATTTGCTATGTTATTTATGCAAATGTATATAACAAGCTAAATTTTTCATATATAAATACACATACAAACTCAAGCATGGAAAACAGCTTTGTAGCAGGGGATTCTGCATCAGATTCAGCATCGTGGCTGGTACGCTTCTGCCTTGGCGGTGCGTTGACAGTAGGTCTCAGGCACACCAGACTCTCTCTGAATCAGGCTATCAGCTATAAAGAACACATGTGGTGTTTGCAGCTTATACACAATCGGAATGAGAGGAAACCCTGCTTAAAAACATTGTTTTGAGGGCCCGTGGCCTAGCGGCTAATGTCTTCACCTTGAACAAGCCAAGATCCTATATGGCGCCAGTTCAAATCTCAGCAGCCCCGCTTCCCATCCAGCTCCCTGTTTGTGGCCTGGGAAAGCAGTCAAGGATGGCCCAAAGCCTTGGGTTCCTGCACCCGTGTGGGAGACCTGGAAGAGGTTTCCTGGCTCCTGGCTTCGGGCTGGCACAGCACCATTTGTTGCAGTCACTTGGGGAGTGAATCATCAGATGGAAGATCTTCCTGTCTCTTCTCTTCTCTGTATATCTCACTTTGTAATAAAAATAAATAATCATAAATCTTAAAAAAAAAACACATTGTTTTGTAAATAAACATACCTATCCTTTTCCCCAACAATTTCTTTTTTTTTTTTTAATTTTATTTATTTTTATTGGAAAGTCAGCTATACAGAGAGGAGGAACTTCCATCTAATCTCCCCAAGTGGCTGCAACCACTGAAGCTGAGCTGATCTGAGGCCAGGAGCCTGGAACTTCTTCCAGGTCTCCCATGTGGGTGCAGGGTCCCAAAGCTTTGGACAGTCCTTGACTGTTTTCCCAGGGAGCTGAGTGTGAAGTGGGCCCCCCGGAACACCAACCAGTGCCCATATGGGATCCTGACATGTAAAAGTGAGGGCTTTAGCCACTAGGCTACGGTGCCAGGCCCTCCCCCAGCACTTTCCCAATGCAGAAACTCCACCCCCTAGGTGCTAGAGCTTCGGACCCAGATGTGCACTCAGAATGGTTCCTGGGGAGGGCTGGGCTTTCTGAGGTTTGGGAAATCAGTCACACAATCAGCCCTCCAGTCCTGCATGTAAAGCACCTGCAGATTCAACCTGCTATGAACTGCAACCACCTGGGAAAGAAGCATCCATACTATACATGCACAGATCTTCCCCCGACACTGTTCCCTAATGATTCAAAAGGACAAGGATTCCTATAAGATACACACTGTGCTAGCTATTACAGTGACTCAGAGATAATCTCAAGTGTGCAGGAGGACTTGTCTAGACTACATGGGACACTACGCCATTTGACATAAGAGGCTTCAGCGCTGGATTTTGCTGTCTGGAGGGGATCTTTAAGAGAACTCTGGGAGCAACAGTACTTGGAGGCTAGAATGAGGTGATAAGAGTGTCTTCAGTACAAATAATTTATGGCAGCCAAAATGAATACCAAGAGAACTTCCCCTGGTCCCATACACATTTCCAATAGGCTTTAAACCCCCAGAGACTGAACTAACAGCATGATGTCTGTCACTGACCACATGGTCCTCTACAGCGTTTTCTCTACTGATTTGACCAATCTTTGTAACAGTTTGGACAAGAGGTGGGGAACCCTTTTTTCTACTAAAGGCCACTGGGATATTTACAACATTATCTATGGCACATACAAAATTATCCATTTAAAAATTAGCCTGCTACCAATGTGTTCAATTCTGAGTTCTGCCAATGGTTGGATTGACAGACCAAATGACTTCATGGGCCGCCTGCTGTCCCCCAGCCCTGATTTAGGCCTATAGAAAAGCTACGAGAATGGTACAACACGCACTAAAACACTGTTGCTGACTCAACCATCATCATACTACTCTTCTTACCTTCCTAAACACCCTCTGCTGCCACCCCCCGCCTGCCTTTTCCTAACCACCTGGAAATGGCACAAGCCACAGCTGGCCACTTCTGATGTCCACATCAATGAAGAGCAAGGACAGTCCCCTACAGAACCAGCGTCACCACTGCCTCTGAGAAAACGAACAACCCCACAGCATTAGCTAACACAGCTTCTGGCAGTTCCACTGTCGTAGGTGCCGCTCTGGCCTTAACTGCGTCATCTGGGGAGACCCACAGCAGATGCTGCTGCAGGCAGTGTCCTCCTCCCAGTCACTCCCCCTAGGCAGTCTGCTGGGACAGACTGTGCCAATGTGGAAATCCTGCTGTCCAGTTACTCTCCACTCATGCAGTGCCGGTACTAGCTGATGTGCCCCTGCCTGAATCAACAATCAGGTCAGGGTTTGCACAGTGCAGGCGTTCTAGCTGCGTCATTCCTTCCACTGCCTGCATTTCTTTTTAAACAATGACCCAGCAGTATCCTCAGCATGGATACTCCGCCCCAGAGCCCACCGAGGCTTCCTTCCACTGTCCCCCTCCTTCGGACCTTGCAGGAGCTCAGGCCAGCCCCCAGGAGTCACTAGCCCTTTATTTGTGATGCCATCACCTCTCCTGTAGTGAATTATAAACCAACCAGTCACAACTGCGTTGTCACTTACCAACCTTTAGTCACGTGAAAACATCAAACCAGTGGGATGCATAATTACAGGGTTAAAGACAGCAGATACAGGACATCTGTTTTATATTTTGAAGAACAATCTGCCCAAGCCCCAAGGAATCTTTCCTCCTGCCTGGGACAGAGCCGCTTACTTTTCCCAATCAGACTTTCTGGGCTATGGAGAAATAGGGCCACCCTGTCCTCCACCCGGACCTGACAATTTTGCAAGAACACAGGTGTAGAAACCACTGCGCCCATCCGCCCGCCCACTGGACACGGAGAAAGAGGCTGCTGTGGATGAAGGGATTTGCCCAGGGTTCCTGGGATCTCTTGCCCCCTCCACCGGGTTCATCTCATCTCCCTCCCAGGGAAGCCGGTGTCCCGGGAAACCAAGAAAGCCCAGGCATCCGCAGCCCTGGCCTTTGCTCATTTGCATCTTGGCCTCCTTGTCCCCAATTTGAACACGTCCATTAAGGAGGCCTTTAGGAGCTTATCATTATTTATTTCTAATCAAGCATTTCTGCAAGTCGACAAAGGCAGGTTCACGTATTACCACTTCTCTAACCAGAATAAAAATTGTCAGGGCTGGAGGAACTGCTCCAGTCAAGCCGCTCTCCTGGACGCTGAAACCCACAGCGAGTGACAGCTCCCGGGAGCGGCGGAAAAGCCGCAGACTAGAGGCACCCCCTTTCCCGTCGCCCGCGTTAACAAGGCAGCAAATGCAAGAGACTCCGGAGCTCCTCAAACGTTCGAGGAGAGGAGCAAGTGGGGAACAAAGCCCAGCCCCGCAGCCCCAGGCGCGGGGACAGGCGACCGCGCCCTCACCGCAGAGGCCCGGCAGGCTGCAGAGGCTGCGGAACCGCAGTGCGGGCCGTGGAACCCACCAGCCCGGCCTCGCCTCCCACCCACGCCGCCCGCGCCCGCCGAGCCCAGCCGGGCGCCCACACCGCAGAGCATCCTCCCGCGAGCAAAGAGAGCGCGGCGGCCACAAGCTGCGGCGGGCCCCGGCAGGTCCCCACCCGTCCCCGGCGCGCTCACCCGTCCGAACGCCCATCCCGGAGCCAGCGGTGCAGGACGCGCGTCCGTCAGCCCCGGGCGGGAGCGAGGCGCCGATAGCTGAGGCGGCGGCGCGGCCGGGGCGAACGCGGCGATCAACAGGCGGCTCCCGGCCGGGGCGCGGCGCGGGGCGCGCGGCTGCAGCGGAGCAGGCTGGGAAGCGTAGTTCCCGGCGGTGCGCGCGGGAGGGACCCTCTGCCCGACGCTCCCCACCTTGCAAGCGCGCGTTCGCTTCTGCTGCAGGTGTGGGCACAGCGCTAACGGGGAGCCTCGGCTGGGACCAAAACCACGGGGGCTCTTTTGAGGATAGGGTGCGTGGCCAGGGCTTGTCAGCCTTGTGAGGAGCGTTTGGGCACTTGGGCATCTTTGTGCGGGGGAGCCTTATTACCGCCCGGCTCAGGGACAGCTCAGGCCTGTCTGGTGTCACTGGGAGGCGACAGGAGGTGCTGAGCGAGAGGGGAAGGGAAAGGGGCAGAGAGCAAGGTGGGATTCAGCGAAGCTGCCCCAAGGTTAGGAGGGTGCTGGCCTTGCCAGGTGTGAACCTTTGCCTCTTCATTGTGACAGGGGCTTACAGACAGAGGCTTGTGGACTCCGCAGCGCTCCACTAAGAATAGTCAGGCCTTGTGACACCAGATAAACGGGATCATCCATTAGGGTTCATGTCAGCCCTGGATATGTACTGGGTGTCCTCTGTGTCATGTTCTTGGGAGCTACAGAAAAGAAAAAACGAACAAAAGAAAATAGGTCTTGTTTCTGAAGTGTTGAAAGTGTGGGTGAGGTGACAGGACAAATAACAGAATCATGAAGTTGGACAGCTCAATAGGGTTACCTTCTGGAAGCTTCTTAAAAATGAGAGGTGGCCTCTCCTTGCTGAACTCTTGCTGTGTGTTATAAGTATAACCTTAGCTCTAATGCACTGACCTTGACAGTTGAAGGTAGTTGGAGTTTTTGTAAGAAGTGGTTCCAGGTGCTCCACCCTGTGGAGGATTTGCAAGAGGGAATGAGCCAGAAGGATGGATGTGGCATGGCCAGTGTGACCTCAGTTGGAGGAGAAGCATCAGAATCTGGCCAGAAGTTTGCAGTCATCACATACGTGACTGTAAAGGAAAAAGTGCTACAGGAGCTAAATTCCAAATTTGAGAATAATACCATAGCTTTGCATTTCCCTGTGCATGTCCTCACTTGATTTTTTTTATTGTTTTTTTGTAGTAACCCTGTAAGACAGGCAGAGTAAGGTTTTTTTTCTCCAGTAAAGATTGTTGAGGAGAGAGATGGTGAGACTTCTTCAGTCACCCAGCTAGTGATGAAATCTGTCTTCTCCTGTCCCTCTCCAGGTCCTCTCAGCATACATTTCTTCCTCGGCTTGTGGAAGGAATCAGAAAAGAAGCAAATTCTCCTAGGCTCTTGGAAAAAATGTGATGAAAACTGGCACACAGTAGCTGCCCATGGCCAGCCCAGTGTTGTTCCAGCTGCCAGGGCCTCGTTGTATCCCAAACATCCTGTAGAACAGACAGGATGTCTTTGATTTGTTTATGCCATGCATTTGTTATAAAGCATAGCTTTCTGCTAAAGCAGAAAGGGGCTACTCACAGATCAAGCCAGCAGCATCTCCCGTAAAAAGTTGATGCTTGCCACAACAATAAAACATTATTAGAATTTTATTTATATTGGAAGAAAAGTAGCGAAGATACTCAGTGGTGTTCTTTCTCCATGGTTTTCTTGCGGTTCCTCAAGAAACATTTCATCAGAGGCACTGTAACAAGAGGCAGACGCAGAAACAGTTAAAGTTCAAGATGGCAGTTAAAGCAGAGGTATAAGAACTTTCCTGTTCTCCCAGAGTCACAGATAATCTCTGGGAAGATATTAATGCTAAGCTTAGAGTGAGCTGTGAAAAGGAACTTCCAGTCCACCTCTGTCTATATCAAGAAAGCTGAGATTAGTGGTGTTTTGGTTTGGTCTTTACGTTTATCTCTTTCTTTGAAAGTTAGAGTGACAGAGAAGAAGAGATTGCCAATCTACTGGTTCATTCCCAATGGTTGGGCTGGACTAGGCTGAAGCCAGGAGCGTGGCACTCCATCTGAGTCTCCCAAATGTTTGAATTATCTTCTGCTGCTTTCCCAGGCCCTGTAGTAGACAGCTGGATCAGAAGTGGAACAACTAGGACTCCATAGGGATGCCTGCCGCATCAGTGATGGCCTAAAGAGGGCCACAGCACCAGGCCCTAGTGGGTGTTCATGGATGCATGAGGAAGCTAGAGCACTTAGCCCACTAGATCCAGTCCTTTCAGTTCTTTAAATCTAATACGCATATCTCGTTTGGTTTAAAGGGTGTCATCATGCCTATGATTCATCAGTTGAAACCCTTTGTCCTGTCTGGACCACATCTTGTAGGTTTGACTTTTCCACTTGGGTGTATTTTTTTTTTTTAAATGAACATGTGGAATTGAAGCAGAAATCTGAGAGCTGGAAAAGACCTTGCAGGTCATCTGTGTAGCCTCCATACAAATGAGGAAGCTGATACATGGATAAAAAAGGTCCCAAGGCTCAAAGAAAGAGAAAATTCCCTGTGGAAGTTATGGTGCTTGTTATTCACACTGGAGTAAGTTGCAGACCACACTAGGAACAGGCAGATGTTATTGCTTGCCTACTCAACATGCACTTCACCTTCCTTCCTTACAGAAACCTGTGGGGAGGTGTACCACCTACCAGTGTCATCTCACAGGTGCTCTCCTAAACCTGCCAGGGGCCGGGGGAACAGGATCCTCTTTAACCTTTCTGTGGGAGATTAGGAGTTGGCTCCTGTGGCCCCATTTTGCTGATAAGGCCTGAGGACAGCTTGGCTGAAGGAACATTTGAAAGGTTTTCTTGAACTTTAACAGCCATGCAGAGAAACATGCCACCATCGTCACTGCCTTGCCCTTCATTGGGCCACCTGACACTTGAGTGGCCCTCTTGCAATCATCAGGATTCCCAGTCTTAGGATGAAGCCAACCCACTGATGATGGCAGAGTACAGTGGTGGAATGAACTTGGGTCTGTGTTGTAGCTGTGTCAGTGACTCCATCATCCCAGTGCTGCCCTACTTCCAGATTTTTTTGTTATACCAGATGATAAACATCTTTATTGTTGAGTCATTGTGCGATAGATTTCCATTACCTAAAGCTGAAAGTTTTTTGGATTCAGTAAGAAGTTACTTTCCAATGGTGACTAAACAAACAAAAAAACAGTCACACAAACCAGAAAAAGGAAATGTTGGAGAAACAAATGACAGCCTGGGTTTGAGCCGAGATCTCTATGTAGAATGACTGAGGCCAAATTTCTTTACCTTCTCTAAGCTCCATTTTCCTCATTTCCAGACTGAGGATAACAACAATGCATGGGGTTAAGAAAATTAAATAAGGATCCTGCATGATGGCTCAATGGCTAAATCCTTGCCGTGTGTGTCAGGATCCCATAGGGGTGATGCTTCCTATCCTGGCTGCTCCACTTTCCATCCAGCTCCCTGCTTGTGGCCTGGAAAGGTAGTAGAAGATGGCCTAAAGCCTTGGGACCCTGCACCCATATAGGAGGCCTCAAAGGAGGCTCCTGGCTCTTGGCTTCAGGTCAATTCAGCTCCAGCAATTATATATTATATTATTTCATATTATTTCATATTATATTATATTATATTATATTATATTATATTATATTATATTATATTATATTATATTATACTATACTATATTATATTATATTATATTATATTATATATTTATATGATATTATGTATTATATATTTATATGATATAACCTTTTTTTCCCAGGTCACAAGCAAGGAGCTGGCTGGAAAGCGGAGATGCTGAAATTAGAACTGGCACCCATGTGGGATCCTGACGTGGCCAAGGCAAGGACGTTAGTCATTAAGCCAGCGTGCTGGGCCCAAATAAATCTTTTTTTAAAAAAGAAAGAAAATTAAATGAGAGGATATAGTCAAATATACTACAAAGGATGTGATGGCTAGTAAGGAGTTAACGAGTGGTAACCATGTTGATCAAGCCTGAATTAAATTGCAATGAAACTGGCAGTGTGACAAGGTACAACTGGATAATACCCTGTAACAGTAGGCGGGTGAGACTCCAGTTTGGTTCCTTGACTCAGTTTTGAGCCTCGTTAGCCACAGCTTTCTGCTTCTGTAAACATGCTTGCTAAGCTAATTGGTTGAAGATGTGGTCTAAATTTAAGTCGATTATGTAGTTTGTATTGTAGTTCGTTGACTGGATGACTATTTTGTACTTAAAACCCCCTGACTTTGACCACGTGGTGCAGCGATTCCTGAAGCGTAGTGGGAGCTGCTGTGGCCAACATTGGCTAATAAAGACTCCTCCTTACTTCCTACACTTGTGTCCAGCATGATGTCTCTCGCTCTCCGTAACACCAGCAAGCATCTAAGAGTAAATCCCCATGTGATGGTGATCACAATGTGATGCTGATTACATTAAGTGACACCAGTGATACAACCTGCAAGACCCAGAACATGGGAACCTCTACATGACAACACAGTTTCTAAAAAATAAAAGAGGGAAAGAAAACTTATAGATACATGAGAAATGTAATGATGACCCAAATGTATCATATGGATCTTGACTTAAATAAGGCAGCTGTTTTAAAAAATCATATTAATTTTAAAAAGATCATATTACTGAGAGGCAGGCTTTTGGAACAGTAATTCAAACACCACTTGGAACAGTGTGCATCCCATATCAGAGTCCCCGGGCACAAGTCCCTCTGTTTCCATTTCTTCTTCTTCTTTTTTTAATGGCATAGGAGATCATGTATTAGGCATGCATAACATGTAAGAAAATCCCACAACTTAAAAGCAATAATAACAGATTCCAAAATGGACAAAGAAATACACAGACATCCTCTGTTTCCATTTGCAGCCTCCTGCTAGCGCATACCTGGGGAAGCCGCAGATGGTGGCTCAAGTACGTAGGTCGTGCCACGCATGGGGGAGGCCCACATTGAGTTCTTGGCTCTTGAGTCCCATTCCTTGCGGACATTTGCTGAGTAAACCAGATAACAGAAGAGATTTCTCTATCCCCTTCTT